TCGCGCGCCCGCCCTCTTTCCCCTTGCAGCGGGGGAAAGGGGGAGGGGACCGCCGGCGCTCTCACCTGGCACAGCTGCTGACAGTACTCCCGTGGCCGCCTCCACGGCCGGCGCCCGGCTCTCCCGCAGCTCCCGCTCCAGCTCCTGGAGCCGCTCGCCCAGGCGCTGCAGCTCCGCGACGCAGCCGCCTCCGCCGCGACTCAGCCTCTCCTGCTCGGCCTCCTCGTCCGCCATCTTCACACCCCGCTCCGTCGCGTACGCACCTGGGTCACGTGATAACACAATGCCACGTTCGGCGGGGTCACGTGCCGGGCGCGCTCGCCCGCCCGCCCGCCGCCGAGCACGTACAAAGGGCCCGGTGGGGAGGACGGCGGCGCGGGGAGGGTGGTGCGAGGGAGCCGGGGGGTGAAGGGAAGCGGGGAGGAGGAGGAGGGCGAGGTGAGGGCGGTGCGGAGAAGCCGCGGTTTACTTTCCCCCGGCGGGAAGCGGGCGGCAGCGGCCGAAAGGGGCGGGCGGGTTCTGGCGCTTTCTCGGTCACGTGGGCGCCCGGACCCGGGGAAGATCCTGGGGAGGGGCCGCCCTGGGGCGTCCGGGTCCCGGCTCGGCTCTCCCATCCCCGGAGGCTTCCACGGACGCGCGCCCCGGTTCCCCGCGAGGACGGTGTGGGAGAGCTCTGAGCGGGCTGGGGCAGGGGCAGCCTTTGCGGGGGGCCTGGGGGCAGGCCCGGGGCAGGAAGGAGGCGGAAGGTAAAACCTACCCCTGGACCACAAGCGTGAGAGCCAGAGCGGGACGGGGAGCTGTCAAAAGTGACTTCTCACCGGGCTCGGGAGGAGGGATCGAGTGTCCGAGGCGCCCGCTCTCGCTCCAGTCTCCTCTTCAGCCCCGGGGACGCCTCTCCCCAGGAAAAACAATCTCTGGGAGGCGGAGGCGACAGAGAAAAATGACCACTGGACCAGGACAGAATGAAGTTCAAATCCTCATCAGGAGGACGGAGCAAATTCGTGAAAAGCATAGCTTGAAAGATTTCAGACGATGCAAGTGTGGACGCTGTAGCAAGATGATTTTTAAGCCACCCAAGTATTTCTAGACTAAGCGGTAGCTGACTGCTCTGTGTCGCTGTGATTGAAGATTCTCCTACACACGACAGAAACCACCATCACTGAAAACACGCTATATATGAAAGTACCTAAAAATAAAGTAGGTCAAGGGGGGAAAACATCAATAAGGACTCCATTAAAAGTCACAACAAGGAGGAGAAATTGATGCTAAAAGAACGTGGTTGTCGAGAGTTATAAATTCAACAGCATTTTTTCCTGACTCTGCAAACAGAGATAGCATTCGGATTCATATTTTACTTGCAACCTGGAAAGAATGAGTACTTGGCACTTGAACAAACAGTAGTACAAAAATTCAAGTGGTTAACCCTAAAGTTCAGAATAAAAAATATTTTGTTAGTAGCAGAAAATAAGACGAGGCTTATCTTTCTTACAACTGAATGGTCTACAGAAATTCAGAAAACAATGGTATTGATGAGGCAACTAGTATTTTCACTCTCATATTCCAAGTATATTTTTCTAGTACAAGCATTTAAAATAAAAAGAATTCCTATTGTGTGCAGCATCCTCCTCCAAGAGATTTCTAGCATTATTAGGAAGTGTTCTAATAGTATGTTGTCCAGAATGAATGTTTTGTAATGCATCAGTGGCGGTGATGTTTTTGAATTACCTTTATGTAAGGTGAGTGGGCACAACTGAACCCTTTTGAAAAACAGTATCAGCTAAAATATTAGTATAGCATGTGTGTTGATACATGTTAACAAGACAGGTTCTTCACATGTTTACCCATGGAAGAAGCTGGGGAGTACCTTCAAAGACTAAGGTACAAGTTATAAAGTATCACTGAGAACCGAAAAAGCAACAATTAAGGTGGCTAATGGATTTTAATATTTGCAACTCACTTTCCCAAGGTAAGTATTTTAGATATCCAAATCAGGTTTTTCCAATTTATGTTATGATGCCAGTGAAAATATAAAAAGAGAATATGGGTTTAGCCAAGTGTACCAGTAAGTCCGAGGACAGATAAGATATCAAAGGTACGCCAAAACCGGTTTGGCTCAGTGGCTAGACCGTCGGCCTGCGGACTGGAAGGGTCCCGGGTTCGATTCCGGTCAAGGGCATGTACCTGGGTTGCGGGCACATCCCCAGTAGGAGATGTGCAGGAGGCAGCTGGTCGATGTTTCTCTCTCATCGATGTTTCTAACTCTCTATCTCTCTCCCTTCCTCTCTGTAAAAAATCAATAAAATATATTTTAAAAAAAAGATATCAAAGGTAGGCAAAGTACATTTTCCCTTCAAGCATAATGGCTTACACACCTAGTTTTTAGAAAGAGATTAAAGAAAGGAAAATACATCCAAATGTTAATTTTTTAAAATTGCCTGACAATGTAGGTCATTCCCACCTCCTGCTCATGATAGTCCTAAAACCTAGGAGGTTTGATTAGCAAATTGTTTCTGAGCACTATTACTGCTGTCTTACAAATGCCGCTCAGCATGGATGACTAAGTCCTTCACTTGTATTTGGAATCTTTAAGGCCTATCTTCCCATTCCTTCATTCCTCTGTTTCAGAGTGTAGAAATTTAATGACTAAGAGTGAGTTGTGTAATTAATAATGATTTATTGAGTACTTACGTGTAGGCATTACTTGGTGGGAAAATCAAAGGTGAGTAAAAACTATCCCTTCTTTAAGGAAATGTACAGTTTTGTGGAAGAGTGACCTGCAATGGTAATATATGCAATATAAGTGTTGTATTATGAAAATGCATGTAGAGTCAACGCAGAACATCAAAGTAGTCTAAGGTGCTAACTAGAATGTCCACCAAATCTCTATAGACGTGCAGGTTTTCAGTTAAATGGTAAGGATTGGATATACTATCCCTTGACAGATCGACTTTGCCTCCGAGATCTCAAAAATATCATTCTTATTCATAGAGAAGGTGTATCAACAAGTACACATGACTTATTGCACCTAAGTCCCAAGCTGCCACTTAAGGGGAATCATTATATATGTACTTACTGAGACGGTCCTGGGGGATTTCGGAGGCCCATTCCATCGAGAAAACAAGAATGAACTCCAGGGCCAAGAGACTCCGCGTCTCGGAGAAACTCTGTGCTGGTGCCCATTTTGGACACACTGCGATTGCTACAGGCGAGATAGAGCCATACTGGACCTTCGCTCTACAGAGAGTTGATTTCAGAGGAAACTCTGGGAGAGAGAAACAAACCTTTACTCCACCCCCGCGATCAGTAAAGCTGGGCAGACCCAGAGGGGACAAATGTGTCTGCCTGCAGGCCGCGCGCGCCTCCTTGCTTCACGAGTTCCCCGCGCTGCACAGACCCGTACCGCACCGCTGCACATTTTTTCCCTGGAATTCTTGAAATAGCAGGGCCTAGGGGCAGGAACGTAGCTGATTTGTGCCTGCAAACAAAGCCAGGGGATCGCGTCAGGGACGCGACCAGAGCTGCGTTTGCAGAGGACGGATCGCTCAGGACTAAGGCCCAGCGGGTCCTTGCGAGCCCCGGTCCAGAGAAACCCCGCAGCCCGGCTCGGGCCCTGCGCGCGGGGAGACAGCGCGAAGCCAGGAGGTGGCGGAGAGCGCGCCGCGCCCTGGATCTGCTGTTTATCTTCCCCCTGCTCTCTCCCTGGGTGGGCCCTGGCGACCGAGAAGGCCCGCAGGACTGGAACCAGGCTACAAGCTGGCTCCGTTCTGCTCCGCTGACCCTGCGTGGGGGTCCACACTTGCCCGAGGCCAGACTGGGCTCCCCCGGCCCGCGGTTCGGCGCGCGCTCGCCCAGCAGCCGCATGGGTGCTCAGAGTCGTTGGTCCCGGGCCGCCGGCGCTCAGCAGCCTCAACCTCGGCATCTGCAGCCGCGGCTTTTCCACCCAGAGCTGCAAGTCAAGCCCGCAGAACGGCTGTGGTTCCGGGCCCCGGTGCAGCGGTTGCCCGGGGCGTCCAAGCCGAAAGATGCTGGAACCTCTCCAGGGCGCGGTGGGGCGCGGGGCCTCGGAAGCCGGGCGCGGGGCCTCGGAAGCCAACCCCGGGGCGTGCTGGAGTCTGTCCCGCGGAGGTCGCGAGGTCAGGGCGCGGGCGCTGCTGCCAGGCTCGCAGACTCCAATCTGCTCACTTGCAAAGGGCCGAGCGTCAGGCCCCATACTGGCCGCCTCCTAGATCCCAGAAGTGAGGGCTGGAGTCTGTCTGGGGCTCGGTCCAGTGGAAAGTCCTCCTCAGAGTCTGGAAAGCAGTGCTATGCTCACTGACAGAAAAAGGGAACACGGGTTAAAGACCTAGTGGAATCGGTTAAAAATGCCACACGTATCCCAGGAACACATTTTCCTTGCGAGGAACGGCGAAGTGGAAACAAAATGTTGAAAACATGAGACAGGTGCTATACCACAGAATTGAAATTATTCCAAAGGCACCGGAAGCATTGGACCCACATTTAAGATGATTAATTTCAGTCCTTGAGTTCTTCCCAGAAAGATGATAGCACATACAGTTAAATGAACAGGTAATTAAATGAGGAGGGATGTTTGTATTGCCTATTTGGATGTTCTGTTTTCTTACCATCTGAGGAAAAGACAGTGCGAATGAGAAAGTAATAACCTTTTATTATCATTTTTAACCCACAATAGACGATTTGTTTTTATTGATTGAGAGAGAGAGAGAGAGAGAGAGAGAGAGAAACATCAGTGGGTTGCCTCCTGACCTCACCACAACCGGACACCAAACCTGCAACCTAGGTATGTGCTCTGACCAGAATAGAATCCCCAACCTTTTGATGTACCAGACCAGGGATCCAACCAACTGAGCCACCTGGCCAGGGCAAGAATAATAACATTTTTAAAATGCTTTTAGTAGAGCCCCAGTCCCTCAAACATTTAAATTAACCGAGGTGAAAATATTTGAGAAATGAAGCAAAATAAAACCTTGTAACAAAATATTTGAGTTGGTTCACAGCACCTCTCCAAAGAAGCAAAGAAATAAATATAAAAAGTGCCTTTCTTTATAAGTTTTAATCACTGTATCTCATTGGAAATCCATCAGAAAATAGCACTTTTGTGGTGGAGAGTGTGCCACACCCTTGATCTGCTGTTTATCTTCACACTTTAAGACATCAACTTCTTAGGAGTTTTGCTGATTTCAGTGATTCCTACAGACATATAGCAATAATAATGATAACAATTTAATAATATCATTTTGAGTATTTAGTATTATATTCATATACTGGAGCAGGATCAGTCCCACCAAGAACTTACCCTCTATCATACCTTCATAAAAATGTTCTTACTAATAGACTGTCCAACCTATGAGGGAAGGCAGGGAGGGGGCGGGGAGGGGGTAAGAGATCAACCAAAAGACTTGTATGCATGCATATGAGCATAACCAATGGACACAGACAGTAAGGGGGTGAGGGCATGTGCTAGGGGGTGGGGGTGGCCAAGGAGAGGTCAATGGGGGGGAAAGGAGACTTATGTAATACTTTAAACAATAAAGAATTTTTTAAAAATGTACTTACTCACTATTCCTCTCCCCACAGCCTCATCCTCTCAAGTTCCTCTTTAACCAGAGCTCCTCTGGGAAGACTTCCTTTGCTTAGGTGGAGTGAAATCAGGATATAATATCTGTCAGCAGAGTAAATTTGGCTGACTTGTTTTGCTTTCCCTTAGTACCCCTTCCCATACAGAAGTAACCACTCTTTAAAACTCTGGTATGTTTGATTTAGTACTTCCTGTATTTTGATTTGGAATCTGTCCTCATGCCTTTTATCATAGTCTATAGATAAGCCTCACTCACAAACTTGTAAGCCCTTTAAGGGTAGAGACTGTGTCATATCTAGCCTCCCTTCTCTAATACCCTTTGGCACACTGCAAGGTAATAAGTAGTCAGGAAGTGCCCGTTGAACTAAATTCAATTTCGTTTATCTTTGGCAGTCATAGATATGTATTTATACCTATCCTCATTATCTAAAATATCCCAGACTTATCCAGCGAGATCAGATGTTCTCCAAACTATAGGAGCTTATTTATAACTATCTTTTAAATAATTCAAGGATCTATGTTTTATTAATGCAATTTTCTATGATAAGAAGTTATAATAGCATTAGAGGCCCAGTGCACAAATTCGTGCACGGGTGGGGTCCCTCGGCCTGGCTGGCGATGGGGGGCTGATTTGGGCCCTCTCACCCAGTCCTGATCAGGGCCAGTCAGGGCCAGCCGGCCAGGGGGAAGGACGGCGGGAGGTTGGCTGGCCCCGGGAGGTTGGCTGTGGGAACGCACTGACCACCAGGGGGCAGCTTCGGCATTGAGCGTCTGCCCCCTGGTGGTAGGTGCATGTCATAGTGACTGGTCATTCGGTCGCTTAGGCTTTTATATATAGAGATCATCAAAAGAAGATGAGATATGCTCAGTTGTTTCACTGTAACAGATGAACTGCAAAAATGTGGACTCTAGCTTTCTTTCCTTTTCACAAACTTAACCGGTGCTTTAGGCCTAATTCAGCTTTGTCTTTGTTCTTATGTTGTGTCACAATATTGATTTTTAAAATCATCTTCTCAAGAGATTCTAAATCTCCAAGCCAATTGTTTTCTTAACATGACTGAATAATTTCCCAATTTCTTCACCATAGTATTTAGTGCACTGCTTCATATGGGTCCTACTACCTTCCTAGAAATCTAAGGAGACAATAAATATAAGATTATCTCTGCCTCCAGGTAGGACTTATTCTTCAGGATCTGAGTTATCTTAGAGAAGAACCTCTCAAACCTTAGCTCACTTAGACAATCTGACTAAAAAGCAGAATCTCAGCCCACACTTCTAGAAAGTCTGATTCAGTAGACTGGGTCCCAGAAATCTGCATTTCTAACCATCCCTTCAGGGTGCTTCAGATCATATTGCTCTGAACCTGTAGTTGTCTAATTCTGCTTTCCCTTCCTTTTCTTCAACTCAGGGCCCTTGCACCATTTTCATAACAAATTCCTGAACTCCCCCCCTTCTTGCTTCATCCACTAGTGGGCACAGGCCACTTATTTAAAAAGTTATAGCCAGCTCTTCATAATTTGTTTGAATCACCCTAATTACCCAAAGCTTTTGTTTTGTGAATCATTTGGATCTTAAGCCCCTAGTTCAATGTTCGGCACATAGTAGGTGGTTTCTCAGTAGATGTGCATTTTCAACCCCTTATTCATGCCTTCTCTAGCGATGCTCCTTGTTAAGCAGAACTTGATTACTTCTTAACAGCCCTATCAGGAAGTGTGTGCAGGAACAAGTGGAAGATACTTGAAAACCTTTCCTGCATTTATCTGCCTTATTAAAATGCATTTTTATACGTGTAAGGGTAAGTGGAGCGGAAAGAAACACTTCATTTAAAATTCAATCTGTGAATTCCATGCTTCCAACAGTTCCTGTCATTGTTAATGGGTATCATTAATTTTTAAATTATAAATATAATTCATGTTTGGGAAATTTTTCAAGAAGTAAGGAAATACATGAAGTAAAAAATAAAAATCCTCTATTCCTAACCTCTAGTCCCACCCTGTCACTAGACTCAGTAACAGTTTATTTATTCTTAAGAAATTTTTCTTATGTATATATAGGCATTTGTAAGTCACCACTCCACTTTCTTAAGCAAATTGATTCATACCACTCATCTGGATGGTATTCCACTTTGCTCTTTTCCCTTAATAATTTTTAGAAATTTGCCATATCAGCATTATTTCTAATAGCCACATGGTATTCCACAGTATAAATGCGACAAATTAATTATTTATTTAACAGATATACAATTGGGTTATTTCCTTTTTTTCCACTATAAAAATACTACAGTGCCCAGCTGGCATGGCTCAGTGGTTGAGCATTGAATGAAGAGGTCACAGTTTGATTCCTGGTCAGGAATATTAAGATGGAGCTAATGGCCCTGACTGGTGTGGTTCAGTTGGACTGAAAGGTTGCCGGTTCAATTCCTGGTCAGAACACATGACACATGCTCAGGTAGGGGGCAGGCAGGAGACAGCTGACCGATCTTCCTTCCTTTCTCTCTCCTCTCCCCTCCCCTCCTACCATCTTCCTTTTCTTTTTCTTTTTTTTTATAATATTCACATTTGCATTAGGTTCTTATGACTGCTGTTTTAAATGATCACAAACTTAGTGACTTAGGATAATGAAAGTTTGTTAACTTACAGTCCTGGGGGGTCAGAAGTCCTAAGTGGGGTCTGAAATCAATGTTTTGACAGGGCTGCCCTTCCTTCTGGGTGCTCAGGAGAGAGTCTGTTTTCTTGCCTTTTCCAGTTTCTAGAGGTTGCTGCATTCTTGGCTGGTAGCCTCCTTTCATCTGCAAAGGCAGCAATGCTGCTCA